TGATATTATGTCCACATAATTTTAATGTGGACGTGACTTTAAAAATAGCAGAATTATAGTCACAAACGGATTTAAAATCCTGGAATCTTAAATTGATCCATTCATACTGAGCTCTCGGCAGTAAGACCTTTTGTTGATGACCATATCTCTCTTGGAGATTATCCCATAATTCCTTCGGATCTTCCACCAATAAATATTCAGATTTCAAACTTTCGTGAAGATGGTGGCGAAGAAAAATTATGGCTTTTGCCTTTTGCTGAGAGGATGATGTATTATTTTCAGCAATTGTATTTTCTAGGCCATTAGCCTTGAGGTGAGCAAGTGCATCAACCCTCCATTCCACGTACCTTTGACCAGATAAATCAAGAATGTCGAATTCTCTTTTGGTGATGTTGGCCATTTGAAACTACAAAGTAATAAATTTAAATTTATGAGATATTTTTTTATAGGTTATAGATTGGTGAGTACGAAAAAAAACATTCTCAATCAAGAGTATTCAAATTTAAAAGAACAAGTACAGTGTATATTTATTTGTGTATGAAATTGTGAATTGATAATTTTAAATGATACCCCACTTATTTAAATTTTCTGTCAAAAATTATTCAAAGCCAAATAGAAGAAGAAAAATCAAGGAATAAGATGTTTTATTGCATTATTATTATTATTATTATATAATACTTCGTATATAAAAAAAATAATATGTAAGGAAAAAAATGTATGGGATAAAATACTTGCAAGTACATAAGGAATCAAAATGGACAATGGAAGAACACAAAACATGTTCCCATAGTGCTATAATTCATCAATTCTTACTCCGTATAAGATATACTCAGTATTATTATTATCAAGCAAAGGTGGTTTTTGAGAGCATCTCTTTCTTTTACTATGGCACGCCGGAGAAAAAAAATAAAGATAGGAAATTTTTTTTTCTTTGAAGAAGCATACATACAGAGTATTGTTTCTACAGGTAAGATGTTCATATTTCTTATCTAAATTATTATTATACTTTTTACATCTAAGCTTGCAGAATTCAAAAGTAGTTTAAAAAAATGAAATTAATTTTGTTTTTCAATTTTAGCTACTGCATATTATGTTCTATTCTTTATTCTAATTTATCAAAAATATGATTCTCTAGAATTATGAGGAAACTTGTTTCTTTTAATTTATCTAATTTTATTTTTATAACTATAAGTTTCTGATGTGAAGGATCCCAACTTTGGGCAATCACAGAGCATACTTCTCATAGTTTTTAAGAAAATATTTTAATTTGTTCATGAAGAAAATAAAATAAATATACCTTATGAGAAGAACAAGGTTTCCTGAGATTTTGAACAAATTCGTGCTGATAACGTGTTATAAAATGAGAGAAAAACTACTCAGATATTATGAGAATAGATATAATATATTTCTGATTTCTTCTCTCTATTAATCTTCACTCTTCTTCTTATTCTTAATTGTAATTTATAGGGATTCTAAGCCTCTTATTTATAGTAGAGAGTCTTAGTGCTAACACTATTACAAATAGTATATACATACTATACAAATGGCAACTTGATGGTGATGAATGATGATGGACAATTTGTTCATGCAACTTATGATGGAGCATGACTTATTTAATTGATAAATGAACAATTCATATTTTTCTTAAGAGAAATTGAATTAAGGGCATTTTTGTACTCTTGACTGCCCAAAAGGAGTGGACGGATGTTAGAAATGAGAGGCAAAAACAATTAGGAAAATGCTAGGGTACACACCTTATCATCTCCCAAACAATTATGAGTAGGGTTTAAGGAAACTGGTGGGCTGCTCAGCTCAATCCACCCAGGTTTAGCAGCCCCCTCTCTTCTTCGTCTCTTCCTCCTCACATCACCATGAATTTCCGGTTTCAGAACCTGCTCGGGGCTCCATACAGAGGCGGAAACGTCGTTGTATCAAACAACACCTTGTTAATTTCTCCCGTCGGTAACCGGGTCTCCGTCACCGATCTGGTCAAATCAGAGACCGTAACTTTACCATGCCAATCCTCCTCAAACCTTCGTCGCATCTCGGCCTCCCCTGACGGCGTCTTTCTCCTCGCAATCGATGAGAAGAACCGGTGCCTCTTCATTAACCTTCGCCGGCGTACTGTGCTCCATCGCATCACCTTCAAGCATCCCGTATCCGCCGCCAAGTTTAGCCCCGATGGCCACTTTATTGCGGTTGCTGCTGGCAAGCTCCTGCAGATATGGCGCTCTCCTGGTTTTAGAAAAGAGTTTTTCCCTTTTGAGTTGACACGTACATTTGCCGACTGCAACGATGGGGTCACCTCACTGGATTGGAGCCCGGACTCCAATTACATTCTTGCTGGTTCGAAGGATATGACTGTGAGGCTATTTTGCTTTAGTAAATTAAGCAAGTCCAGTAAGCCGTTTTTATTTTTAGGGCACAGGGATGTCATTGTTGGTGCGTTTTTTGGAGTTGATAATACAACTAAAAAGGTTTCCAAAATCTATACCTTATCACGTGATGGAGCCCTTTTAAGCTGGGGTTACACGGAAACAGATGTAAAATCTGGTGAATTGGGTAGTGATTTTTCTGAACCAGTTTCGCCAGGTACACCAGAACAAAGGCAAGCACCTAGTGGCGAAGTACATTGTGATGTTAATTCTAAAAAAAGAAAGAATTTTGATGGGGAAGACAAAGACTCCAGCAAAGGAAATGGCTCTGGGCTGCACACAGAGAAATGGGAGTTGTTAAAGAAGGATTATTTCATGCAAGCACCAGCAAAAGTAACTGCTTGTGATTATCATAAAGGGCTTGATATGGTGGTGGTGGGATTCTCTAATGGGGTTTTCGGACTTTATCAGATGCCTGACTTTGTCTGCATCCATTGTCTTTCAATATCAAGAGAGAAAATCACAACTTCAGTTTTTAATGATCTTGGAAACTGGCTGACATTTGGATGTGCAAAGCTTGGGCAGTTGCTTGTATGGGAGTGGAAATCCGAAAGCTACATACTGAAGCAGCAGGGACATTATTTCGATGTAAACTGCCTTGCATATTCACCAGATTCTCAACTCCTGGCTACTGGAGCTGATGATAATAAGATAAAGGCAAGTACTCTATTAAGATCATTTTTGGATTCTTTTTTACTCCATTTTATACAAGATCAATGCATTTGTTTGGTTTTGCCTTGAAAAGATTTCCCAATTGTCCGATTTAAAGCAGATAAAATGTGCCATTTGATTTCCGTAAATTTCATCTAATGGTGTAACAACATCCGAACACCCCTTTTTTGTATTTATGGAACTCATATTCAAAGGTGCTTCCACGTTTCTAGAAAGATCAGATCTCCAATTTAATTGTGTAATCTGATACTGGACTTTCGTCTCTTTTGCCTAACAGGTGTGGACTGTTTCATCAGGGTTTTGTTTTGTCACATTCTCCGAGCACACCAATGCAGTTACTGCACTTCATTTCATGCCGAACAATCATTGTCTGTTGAGTGCATCTCTTGATGGGACTGTTCGTGCATGGAATTTGTTTCGATATAGAAATTTTAGAACATTTACTGCTCCCACTTCCAAGCAGTTTGTTTCTTTAGCATCAGATCAGAGTGGTGAAGTGATATGTGCTGGAACCCTAGATTCATTCGAGGTCACAACTAATTTCTTATTGAAACTTTGATTATGTATTACATTGTGCAGTAACATTCAAAATTCATTGACAGACTTGTTATCTCATCTATTGCTACTAGATTTATGTCTGGTCAATGAAGACAGGGAGATTGTTGGAGGTTCTCAGTGGGCACGAGGGCCCTGTGCACGGATTGATCTTTTCTCCAATAAATGTAACCTTCAGACTTCATATGCTCACTTATTTGGAAATTTGTGCATGTTTGTGGCACCCTATTGCATTATGTCATATAAATGCTCGTGAATCTCTAGCTGGCTTTCCCTCTAATGAACAAAAAATAAATTAAATTTGGTGTTCATTGGTTTTATGCAGGGGGTTTTGGCTTCCTCCTCTTGGGACAAGACAGTTCGCTTGTGGGATGTTTTTAAAGGAAAGGAAGCAGTAGAAACTTTTCCCCACACACATGATGTCCTCACGGTTGTTTATCGTCCAGATGGAAAGCAATTAGCATGCAGCACATTAGATGGGCAAATATGTTTTTGGGATCCTATTGAGGGTGTGTTGATATACACAATTGAAGGACGCAGAGACATTGCAGGTGGGCGCTTAATGACTGATCGTAGATCTGCAGCAAACTCCACTTCGGGCAAGTTCTTCACAACATTGTGCTACTCTGCTGATGGAAGTTACATATTAGCTGGTGGAAATAGTAAATATATATGTATGTATGATGTTGCTGATCAGGTATGCCTATTAATTACATACTCCCTCCGTCCCCCATAGATCTTCTCAATAGCCCTTTTTCTTTGTCCACAATAGATCTTCTCATTTCATTTTTTAACAATTAAAATACCACAACTACCCCCACTTACTTTATTTATTACACCTCACCCACCTCATTTAATACACTCCACCCATTTTCATTAAGGGTATTATGGTAAACTTTCACCTTTTTTCAACTCTCCTTAAAAACCACCAAAAGTCAAAATGAGAACATCTTAGGGGGGACGGAGGGAGTATTTGGTTTCTGTAAGCTATTCTTCCCTTCACATTTTTTGGGACCTGTCCAAGAATGTAGTATTCATGGTTATGTATGTCATGCCATGAGCTGCGGGTAAATTATCTATCAGTTTTTTAACGATAGTTTTCAAATAAGCTCGATTTGGTTGGATGTACTTGTTTGATAATATCGAGCT